CGGTCCCAGGGCCAGGCTGGGCGTGGGGGATGCACGGAGGTGGGTCAGGCCAGGGCTGGCAAGGGGACGGGGCCTCCGGGGCGCAGGCGGGCTCAGCAGATGGCGAGCACCTGTTGGGCCGGATGGGACACAGGCCGGGAAGCCCTTGAGGACTGACCTGGGAGAGCAGCTCCACGGAACCCTGAGCGGCCCTGAGCGGAGCGGGGCGTGAGCAGGGCAGCGTCTGAGGACGGTGTCCAGCTCCGTGTCCTTGGACGGAGACGGCAAACTGGAGGCAGGAATCTGGAGGAGTGGACACATCTGAAGGGAGGTTGTCAAGTGTCAGATGTCACAGAGGAAGAGCTCTTAGCTCCAAAGGTCAGCCCCGAGAGTCCCAGGCGGCCACCGCCTTCGCTGGCCCACAGAGCCTGGCTGCCTCGCACAACAGGAGAGGGGCTTCCAGCCCTGCTGGGGTGCTCAGTGGGGACCCCTGCTTCAGAAGGAGACCAGTATCCCAGAGGCTCTAATCACATTCCAGCTAAGACGATGCTGGATCCTCCCCACAATCAGATGAGGTCGGGATGATTGTTCCCTTTGAGAGATGGAGGGACCGAAGTTCAGAGAGGCCAAGTCACTCACCTCAGGCCACACAGCAAGCGAGAAACAAGGTCTGAGAACGCTCTATGCCTGCATTCTTCCTGCTGTTTCTGTCTCCTCTGCCACGTCACTGGGGGCTTGTACTCCACCTGACTTTATTCTGGCAGGTTCTAGGTGGTTCTGGACCAGGGAAATTTGCGGGAACTTAGATCTAAAGCTCAGTAACTCCAAATGGCCCAGGGGACCTGGATCCCACGCACCGGCCCTAGGAGAATGCCGGGCTCAGCACCCTGAGCCCAGGCTGAGGCGGGACCCCTGGGTTCACACTGTCACCGCCAGAGGGCGCCCACAGTTGCCCAGGTGAGGGCGAGGGGCGGTCCCCTTCCTGGCTTCCGGAAAAACAGCCTGGGCTCCTGGATCTGGAAACTGCCCCCTCATGGGTCCAGGGACCCCCCTCGCCTCCTCCCATCTACCTCAGCTAAGGTCTTGCTGACCCTCCCTTCCCAGGCCCTGCTTTGCCCAGGGAGTCAGGTTCCCCGGGGTGGGTGCCAGGAAGCCTGGGGTCCCCTGGCTGCCCTCCCCCAGCTCCACTCACAGATGTGCCTGCCTCACCCCTCAGCCCGGTTCTCACGCAGCCGCAGTGCTGAGGCCGCGCCAGCACCGGCTTGTCACCTCCATCACCTTCGGTCAGGCCCTGCACAGCCCTGGGTGGGAGTGTGGGCCAGTCCAGGTTACCAACCGGGCCCAGAGTGGGGGGGGGGCAGTGCCCTGGGCCACACAGCCTG